CCCCAAAACCCCAAAACCCCAAAACCCCTTTAAGCTGCCTCACTATTGAAAATCACCTCTCTCCAATATTATACTTTCCTGAGATAACTTTGGATCTTAGTAGATTTCCTCTTCCCCATACTCGCTCTCATATCAGCCAGGATGCCATACCGTTTCCTTCTATAACTCTTCGTCATCGGCTTTGAAATCTGTTTCTCTTCAAAAGTAACCTACAACCACTCAAAAACATCTGTCTTACATTCTGTCTGGCTTGATCTTCACAATTAATCAGTACAGATATATCAGAAGTGCCACTTCTGATAATCTGGTTGTTTTTTAAATGGATGCTTGATTTAGTCTTAATTTTTCTTCGTGAACTCATTGTGTGCCTTCTATTTTGATGTGAAAATATTTTGGCTTTTAGTTGGCTCATGTTTGAGGTGTTTTCGAGAAGACTTTCGTTGTTCATGGATTGGAGAATGGGGTTTTGGTGGGGGTCTAGAAGGAGTTATTGGGGGTTGAAGAGGAGGGGTGGGGGTGAGGGATGGCTTACTTGTTCGGGGAACTTCTTGGGACCCTTGCCTTTCGGCTGTTCCTTGTCTGAATTGGGAGTATCTGAGCGAGTTTTCTGCGTTATTTTCACAGGTTTCGTTGGGTTGAGGGGCGTTTATGGGGTGGAATGGTATGAATTTGCCCATTTTAGCACCTAAAGTGCCTTGAAGGCCAAATTTTGAGTCTATTTCTGGATTCCAGAGCATATTTGAATTATTAAAACGATCTTGGTAGACTTTGCGAGACATCCTTCTTGTTGTATTAAGGAAGGAGTCGTATTGGTTTAGGCTTTCTTCTAGCCTCTTCTTGCTTTTTCGTTCACCTTCAGCTGTGAACATTCTCACATCTCTGTGTAAATCTATGCTACTGTTGGTTAGCATGCGAGGCTGAGCCTTATCTAAGAGTTTAGCAAAGATATACCTTCTTTTTGGAAATGATCAGGCACTTTGGAGAATATAGCAGAGCTCTTATCTAAGCTTAAAGGTGCTTTTGAATGTGTATGAGTTGTTAGTTGAGACTCGGAACCATTGTTTAGAGAAAATTTGAATCCTTTTCTGAACAATACAGGGAAACTATCTGGCTGCAATTTATTTTTCAGGCTTCCTTAATAAAACTCCGTTGTGATCAAAAGCGAAGTTATTTAAGCATTCCTTCATTTGAAGCTTTTGTTGTTTTTGGCATTTTTCTATTTAGTCTTAGCTGAGGGTGAGCGTTCGGTATTTAGATTAATCTTCTGTCTACTGACAATTTTCCTTAAGCGATCTAGACATTCAAATATTTGGGGAATTACCATCCTGGCGAATTTCACTTTCAGAAAGTTGAATAAATGATTTCATGTTTAGGGGTTTCACCTTTAGTTCCTTTTTGTTTTTCTTTAGATGTATTTTTCGTTTTTGCCTGAGACTATTTAGTCTTTCACCTGTTCCTAGTGAGCTATTGAAGGTTCGTAATCTCATTGGAGATGTTGCTGTAGGGGACTTTTTAGATTGAGGAGATTTTTCAACATCAGAAATTGATTCTGCTTCAATTTTTATGATCTTATTAACTTGAGTTTTGAGATGTTTCCATGCATCCAAGGGAGGTCTTTGAGGCTCGTCTGAGCCATCGGATTGATCCTAATTTGTAATCATTTCAAAAGACTTTACAATTATTCTTGATGAAGGTACTTCATGATCTCTGAATCCGATTTTTCATAATTCAAATAAAGTGCTTCAAAATATATCAGATGAATATAGTTTTGCTTGTTTTGAAATTTCTTGGTAAGCAATCTAGATAGATTAATCAAAACTCTTCTTACAAAATTGAGACTTCTTTGGATTATCTTCTCGACTAAAACCTTTAAAAAATCTCTCACCTGCAAGGTAAGGAGCTGAGTGGTTTTCTTGCATTTTTTGAAATATAATTATATCAACATCCTGAATAATTTTCGGGGTTTTGGGGTTTTGGGGTTTTGGGGTTTTGGGG